TGGTGGTGAGCAAACTGTTGTGGTGGTGAGACAGTTTATCTCTGGGGGTGAGAAAGTTTATCTCTGGGGGTGAGAAAGTTTATCTCTGGGGGTGAGACAGTTTAGCTCTGGTGGTGAGACAGTATATCTCTGGTGGTGAGACAGTATATCTCTGGTGGTGAGACAGTTTATCTCTGGGGGTGAGAAAGTTTATCTCTGGTGGTGAGACAGTTTATCTCTGGGGGTGAGAAAGTTTATCTCTGGGGGTGAGACAGTTTATCTCTGGTGGTGAGACAGTATATCTCTGGGGGTGAGACAGTTTAGGTCTGGTGGTGAGACATTTTATCTCTGGTGGTGAGACAGTTTAGGTCTGGGGGTGAGACAGTTTAGCTCTGGGGGTGAGACAGTTTAGCTCTGGGGGTGAGACAGTTTAGCTCCGGGGGTGAGACAGTTTAGCTCTGGGGGTGAGACAGTTTAGCTCCGGGGGTGAGACAGTTTAGCTCCGGGGGTGAGACAATTAAAATAAACAAATACACATAAATCCCTGCAGCACGCTCAATAACAAAGGCTCTCATTGGATGAGATGCTCGATGAAGGCTATCTAAAGCCAATAGTGATCAAGATCCCGCCTCCCTGCTGCGACAACTGAGTCTGTGTGTGTGTTTTCACAGGCAGCACAGAGATCAGATGGAGAAATATAAAGAAACTGAGTTAACYCGTGTTAAAAAATATTGCCGTTAATTGTCGGCTGCGTTAACACGATAATAACAGGTTATCGTGCGCAGCAGTAGTGTGAGCTGATCATTAAATAGATGTAAGGATAAAACAACAGGGAAACAAGGCATGTCATTTAAACTTTCTTAAAACAGTTAAATATATAATGATGTCATTGCAGGAACTATTCTAAGAAATGTGAAATTACCTGTGTTACAACCGGTTAGTTTTTGTCCTCCAACTTTGCTTCAAACTTTATTCATTTTAGCTTTTGGCATTTGCATGTTTTGAAGCATTGGAGTTCAATGCAGTCCTCTGTCTGTCTTAATGTCCAGACATACTACAARGTTAGAGGTTATTTCTCAAGACGTATGAAGATTTTGTCCAACAGGCTATCATGCACTGAAGATGGAATAAAAAAATCAACTGGGATACTCTTTTGGACATATACATACTGTAATTATAATAAGTTGAACAAATACTGTACATAAGCTATGTTTAACAATAACTTATTCATTACTTGTCCCTAGCTTATACTTAACTTATACAAGCATATGACAGTGATGTTTGATTTGTGCAGAGCCTATGTGCAACATTAGTGTAACTTATGCTGAACTTATTTGGAGCATGRTGCAACGATCACATGACATTAGATCAAGACTTTAGATTAATCTTCAGAGTATGWCAATGAATCTAACATCTTAAGATCACAATCAAAACAAACTAGATACCATAGGACCCCCACACATACACAAAGCACCCACCAGAACTCACATACAGGTTGCAGCTGTTTAAGATGTTCTGCATGTATATGAGAAGTGACTTTGATTTGTAATGACCATTCGGTCATTACAAATAAAATATTTTGTTGATGGGGAAAAAAATAAACAGATCTTTTCATGGTGGTCTATTTGAGTAGAGGGATAATGAAACGTGAAACTACATATATGTTCTGATCTCTCCAGGAAACTGTACTGTAGATGCTTTATAAATATAAATATGATCGACAGAGACCGTTCAGAGTAGAAGCAACGGTCATTTGTGGAGTTCCTCAGGGGTCAGTTCTTGGTCCTACTCTCTTCACATTATACATCCTGCCTCTCGGACAAGTCATCAGCCACCATCCATCCACTGTTACGCTGATGACACTCAGCTTTGTATAAAAATGGACCGTCATCCATCTACTTCTTCCTCTACATCCTCATCATCATCACTCTCCTCACTCAAAGCCTGTCTGGAGGACAAAAAATCATGGATGAACAACAATCTTCAACTGAATAGTTCCAAAACTGAGGCGATTACTGATTGGCACTCCTCGTCAGMTTCAGTCATCCCCCATCACAGCCATAACCTTTTCCAGACAGGACATACCACTTTCCACTACTGTCACCAACCTTGGTGTCCGTTTTGACCCTCACCTTTCCTTTGACACTCACATGAAACATCTGTGCAAAACCTCCTTTTTTGACCTAAAAACATTGCCAGTCTTATCCCATTACTCTCTCAACTTGACGCTGAAAAACTTGTACATTCCTTTATACAGCATCTTCAAGACTGGACTATTGCAATTCCATTCTCTTTGGTATTTCAAGTAAAAATCTTCAAAAACTCCAGTACATCCAAAATAGTGCTGCATGTCTTCTGATAAAAACTATAAAACATGACCATATCACCACCTGTTCTGCATTCTCTTCACTGGCTTCCTGTCCCTGCCAGAATCCAGTACCAGACTGGTCTTCTGACACACCAGTGTCAGTGTAGAACCTTAAAGAACTGCTCCTTCCACACAATAAAACTCGTTCTCTCCGTTCTGGTAACTCCGGCCCTCTCCAAATCCCAGAACAAAGCTCAACACCATGGGGGACCGAGCTTTCTGCACTATTGCTCCTCGTCTGTGGAATTCACTCCCAGATCATTTAAGGGAACCACAGACTGCAGAATACTTCAAAAACAGGCTAAAAACCTACCTGTTTTGCACCTTCTATGGCCATGTTTGATTTTTTTGTAGCACTTTGAGATTCCTGAATGTAAAGTGCCCTTTAAATCAAATGTATTATTATTATTACTATTTATAAAGTTTTCGTAAATTTTTTTATAGTTTTGACATATTTCATGTATGTCGAGAGGGATTGAAGACATTTTGTAACTGATTAATTGAATATTAGATAAGGTTAAAACAGACAAAGAGTTGGTGTGTGTGTTATCATGCGTTCTTTCTTTTAGCCTAAACAAGAATGAGTGACGTTCTGACGTCTGACGTAAAAGGTAACACCTCCTGGGGTGTAACCAGGAAGAGAGGTACATTATAAGGACAATTCATTATTATAGT